AACCATTTTCCTCTCCATTATTTCCCCCCCGCCCAAATAATGGAGACCCAAACCATTTTCCATCGATTATTTTCCCCCCCGCCCAAATAATGGAGACCCAAACCATTTCCCCTTCATTATTTCCCCCCCCCAAATAATGGAGGCCCAAACCATTTCTTCTCCATTATTTCCCCCCCGCCCAAATAATGGAGGCCCAAACCATTTCACTTCCGTTATTTTCCTCCCCTGCTAGTACTAGTCTAGTAATGGTAATAGAAATAGAAATAGTAATAGTAATGGTAGTAATGGTACTAGCAGTAATAGTAATAGCCCAAATGATGGAGGCCCAAACCATTTCCTTTCCATTATTTTCACCCCCTAAGCAGCTATACGATCGTATGAGGTTGGCCTGGCGGAGAAAGCTGTGCGACGCAAGCGCAGACGAAGCAGTCAGGAGCCCCTGCAGGAGGTTGACCAGGATGCGTCTGACGGTGAGGAGCAGCAATTCTTCGATGCCGCGGAGCGCGCCTTGCAGCCGCAGCCGGACGAGGTCAATCCCTGCGGAATCGACAAAACCCTGACGGTGGCCCGCTGCCGATATGGCGGGCTTCACGTTGCAACCCTTCCATGCGGCCGAGCGTGCGCTTTTTAATGCCTCTCTCGAGCGCAGAGTCCTTGACTCAGGTCTACGCCCTACTATCCGAGCTAGTTGGCTGTCGCGTACACCCTGTCAAGTACGTTATGTATGACAACGCCTGCGCCTTGGCAGCGCCATCCTATACGGAAAGATCGCACCGCCTTGGCGGCAGCCATGGCAGAGTTGACCTTTGTCCTGGACGGCGTCCACGAAGCTAACCATACCGCCTGCCTAGATGCTAGCCTTGTTCATGCCAGAGGTTTGCCGCCAGTAGCATGGCGCTCTCGCTGGTGTTAACTCTCAGACATGCGAGCAATTCTTCGCATGGGCGGATGCCTTTGTGAGCTTTGCCTCGAACATGGCCCCTCACGTGTTCAGGGCCTTCAGGCTGCTCCTGGCTCATTGGTACAGCATCAGCATCCGCCGAGAACGCACGGCCTCGATTGCAGCGGCCCCGTGCCTCCCAGCGACCAGGGCCGCCTGCTGTGCCACTGCCTTCACAGCTTCCTGAACAGGCACCTCGTGAAGCCAAGCTGTGCTTTCGTCGCAATCCTCATGGTGGGCGGCGGTAAGCTGCATATTGGATACAGAGTGCTGGCGCGGAGCGCCCGCCCTGCAAGATCACTTACGTGCCCACTCTGGTCGAGCGGCTCGACTTGACTCCCGCGTCAATTTCCTGGGAGCCTTCGCTTGGATTTGTGGCAGAACTCCACGGCAGCAGATATCAGGTCTGCCGACTCTGCGGCCGCTGCCACCAGGCTTCCAGGAAGCTGCCCTGAACACCAGAATCCGCATCGTACAGCCGAGCTTCTCCTGTACGCTTTCTTCGACGGAGTTGCTCGGGAGTCGGCATTCGGCAGAAGCCCGGATTGCGCCGCACCTGTTGAAAACCCTCGATGTCGACTACGAAGTTCCTGAGCTGCGAGTCTCACGAACAGGAGGCGCGCGAGGTGATTTAAATGAGTTATGACTGCGCCAGCAGTAGCCATGCTTGCCATGCTGACAGATGTGTGCTTTGTTGTGTCCGCATCTGCAGGGGGCGCAGAGTCTGCAATCATCAATCTTGTCTGTGTTGCCCAGCCTCTGTTCTCCTGCCGATGCCGTCTCTGGCGTAAGGTTGCTTTACCGCTCTCCTTGCCTCTCCTGTAGACCGCCATGGCTGAGCGCAGCCGCAGCCGTGGCCGCGCCGTGGACGCTGGGGAAGGCCGGCGAGCGTTGTCTCAGTGCCAGTGCTAGCGTGGAAATACCTGTTAGCGGATTTGGTCGCTCGAAGCTTGCTGTGGTCTTGCACAGTGGGAGTCGGACTGTATTCATTGAAGTCAGGTGACACACTGCGCGCTGACCGTGCAGCCAGCCGAGCTCCTGAAGCCGGGGAAGGCTGGCCAGTCCGGGAGATTCCGGTTCGCTGCAGTCAGAGAGCAGTTCCTTTCTGGCGCCGCTGGAGGTGACACTGCCCGCAGCGAGAACGACAATTGGGACTCCTGGAGCGACTGGCAGCGCGCGCACCCAAGAAAGAGAAATGCCGTACATAGTAATCGCAGTAGATAAGGCCTGCTCCAGGCAACACTGCGCACAGTGAGAGCAGCAATGCGTACTCCTGGAGCGCTTGGAATCGTGCGCGCCCCGGACACACAACTGCAGTGCATGCTGGTTCTCGTATAGGTGACTGCAGAACTCTGTCAGAACCCTCGTCGTCCCATGCCTTGCTTCTGCGTGCAAGCCTGTTCTGCTGCAGAAGTGCCGCAGGTGACAACGCACGCAATGAGGGCTGGAATGGGTACTCCTACAGCACTTGGAACCGCGCGGGCGCCAAGTTCTGTGCCACGGGACTTGCTCTTTCTGCTGTTCTTTTCGCGATGCCAGGCCAGACGTGGCGCCGCACTACGCGCGGACAGGGCCGTCCAGCAGCCAACCTAGATTGTAGCGCCGCCTGTTCGTTGGGCGGTTGTCCTGTAGAATCCAGGTGAACCAGAGCCGCAGAGAGGAGGAGGTGCGCGGCGGTTCGCAAGGTGCATAGGTGATGTAGAGCGTGACGTGTGTAGACGGCACGCAG